ACTCACGCACACGCGTAGTCAGCTCACTGGTGTTGCAGAGAACGCGAATATTTTTTTTTCTTTCTCTCTACGCACAATATTTGCTCTTCATTTGAGTTTTGTCGTTTCTCTTTCAAGTAGAGGCGCGAATACCATAGAAACTGTAAGCAGAAGTCTCGCATTTATAAACAAGCTGCAATATATTTTTGGTCTTCATTTCGTAGCGGCTCGTATGTATGGTGAGGTAATCATTCATAGGTTCACAAGAAATTAAAGTTACCCTGGTCTAACTTTTTTACAAAACTATTATAACCGTATAATCCCTTTAGCCCCTTTAATCCCTTTAATCTATTTAGTACCTTTAATCCCTTTAATACTTTTAGCCCCTTTAATACCTTTAATCCCCTTAGTCTCTTTAATCTCTTTAGTCCCTTTAATATCTTTAATCCGTTTAGTTCTTTTAATCCCTTTAGTCCTTTTAATACCTTTAATCCTTTTAATACCTTCAGTACCTTTAATCCCTTTAGTCCCTTTATAGTGTGGGGTGTGGGTGTGGATGTGTGGGGTATGAGTGTGGGTGTGGGCGTAAGGTATGGGTGTGTGGGGTATGGGGTGTGGGTGGGGATGTTGAGGAGCACCCACACTTACACGCACCCACACCCACACTTACACGCACCCACACCCACACTTACACGCACCCACACCCACATTTACACGCACCCACACTTACACGCACCCACACCCGTCGCGTTCTTTTACAGTTAATATCAAATGAGCTAATATCTTGGATTCAGCTATGGTTTGAATGGTATCCTCTCATTTGCAAACATAAAGTCAAAAATTCAAAGTTTATTAAATTAAATTATGCTTCATTTTTTAATTAATTTGAATTTTTCAGATTCAAAACGATTGAAAGTGTTAAATTTTCGATTTTGAATTCGTTAAAACTCATTTCTTGAAAAGAACTCCGAAAATCAAAATTGTTTGCTTTTATTATTTAAAATTTTTACTGAAACGAATTTTAACAGCCATTTTGTTTGAAGAATTAAAATTTGTAGAGTTCGCTCTTGTTTTCTATGCAATTTCTATATTTTAATTTC